AAATATATATATATATATATATATATATATATATATATATATATATATATATGTATGTATGTATGTATGTATGCATGCTACAGCTACATCAGTGGAACTTGGAAAGAGTTAGAAATAATTGCTTAATCCTAACTAGTATCGCACCCCGCTATCTACTATCCTCCCATTAAAATTAAAACTAAATAACATGATAACCCATAACTTGCCCAACTCTGAAAGGAATGATGAACCAAAAAGAAATCAGAAAATGAACAAAGAACACGGAGTTAAAGTGCTTCATCAGCAATATCAGAGAAATGTCCACTCGCTGCTGCAGAATTTTTACAAAAATGAAGGTGATGACAAGGTTTTCTCAAACAGAAAAAAACAGCCCCTCTATGAGTCCATTGCATAATGTAGGAGACCAGGTCAATCCACGACGGAATAAGTGAATGTATATAGGGGTGGCAAACAGGCCGAGCCACTTGGTGGCTCGGCTTGTCTTAGCTTGGTCCCTTGGCTCGTATTGAGACGAACCATGGGCTGAGCTAACCTCAATTTTTTTCATGAGCCAGGCAGCTCGTCTCTGCCCATGAGCCCCACAAGCCAAATGGACAAACTGGACAAACTGATCCTAATTTGTGGACACAAGTTGAGCTCAGGTGTCTAAGGGCCAAGCCTAGCTCCACCCCTAACTGTATAATTAGGCTCGACCCTGCATTGAAGCCACTATTACTATCATAGGCACCATTTTCACTTCCACCAAAAATTGCCACCACCACAATGTAAAGTGTACAACAAAAGACAGACCAACCACTCATGACCTAGACCCCTCCACCACCATAGCCACGTACACATAAAGTCCATCAGAAACTGTGATTTACACTCCTAAACTTGCCACATGTACAACTCATCAATGAGGGAAACCCATTGATCACCACATAGCACCATCATCTTATGAATGTTGATGCAAGTATTAGTGCAGGCAGATGCATGTAAACATGTAAATAAGCTGACAGAGAGGTTGGTGAAAATATACTCATAAAAGCATATAGTATACATAAAGAAATACACGTGCATGGAGAAAATTAAAGACAAGCAAATAACATGTGATTGCTAACTTACATGGTCAAGCAGCAAAACATCGTCTTCTTCTTCCAAGCGCGAGAAGTCTATAGCCCGCTGGCCTGTTACAAGCTCTAAAAGCATGATACCATAGCCAAAAACATCCGTCCTTCGTGATGATTTTCCAGTCGACAGGTATTCAGGAGCTATGTGACCCATTGTACCACGAACTTGAGTTGTAACGTTAGTCTTTCTCACATCAACTAACTTTGCCAAGCCAAAATCACCGACTACTGCTTCAAAATCTTCATCAAGCAAGACATTAGCAGCTTTAACATCTCGGTGAATAATTTTAGGATTACAATGCTCATGAAGATACTCTAATCCACGTGCTGTGCCCAATGCCACATTTTTTCTGGTAGACCAATCGAGAACAGGCTCCCCAGGTTTGACCTCTGTATTGAAAATAAACGTTAAGAGGATTGACACTTGACAGTGCATGCAAAAATCAATATATTGCAACTTCTACATAAAAAATAAATCATCTCAAAAGCTGTAGAGATGAACAAATTACGAAACTCAACTTGCACCAGTCTTGTGCAGTTAATTTTTGGGGATGAAAATTACCAGAAAAAATTATTTTCCACAATGCTATACATAATAATTTTGTGAAGTCCTTAGTCTACAATTTAATCTGACTTAAACCTTAAGCATACGAAAACTATGAGAGGCTTCTTTCTAAGTTTGAAAGGGTTTATAAGCATGTCAAGGTAATTTGCTCTCCTGCATTTTGCTTAATATTTAATTAAATAAATATAAGGGCTTATAAGAAAAATAAATATGATTTAAATTAATGTAGTCTCAAGAGAAAGTTATCATATAAGATTTACAAAAGACACGCTTTTTTTTTTATCAGCCATATTCAGTCAAAGAAAGAAAGAAGATTTCAAATATGTACATCTCCTTAATGGTAAATCAATCATTAATAAAATATGGATTAAACTTTCATGGAAATAAATTATAGGATTTGCAACTGCAATGATGGATTATGAATGTAATACAACAATACCTCGTAGACGAGAGGCAACACTTAAGTTTTGCATAAAAGGATAAACCAGAAGGCGTTCTGTCGGCGTAGTGCAAAATCCAATTAATCGTAAAAGATTTTTGTGAACGGCCACACTTATCATCTCAACTTCACGCTGGAATGCTATATCTCCACCAGGGCTCTCGAAATCAGTCAAACGTTTAACGGCAACTTTTGTGTTATCCCCAAGCACTCCTTTATAAACCTTCCCAAAACCTCCCTGTCCAAGAACATTTTTCTCATTGAAGTAGTCTGTAGCGAGCTGCAACTCTCTCCATGCAAATCTTTTCAATTGCCCAAATTCAATCCTTCGGTCAACTTCACCTGTGCAATCAGAAAGGAAAAAATAACATAATTAGCATATCAAGTGTAGAATTTCCTACATTTGAAAAAAATATTTCCAAATTCCATTAGACAACTAGTGTAAATCGAGCACATAAACAAAACTTATAAAATATTCATAAACCACACATAGATCATAATTAGCGGTGCCTAATTATGATATAGATTCAGGATTGTGAATATATTTCTGTAAGGATAGTTCAATTTATAAAATTGAATGGACAAATTACTGTTCGAAAAAATCTGTTTTTCTCATACATGAATCAGTTCAAGAGACATAACTGGGGACAAGTACTTGGCAAATCTCGTGGTATTTGTATCAGTTCGAAATTGGAACCACTTTGTCTAAAAGCTTAAGTTATTAAAGAAGTAACGTGCTGATTGTTTAAATTATGTCCTCAACAAGCCCCTCCCTTGCAGACTGACTTTATTTTTCATTAAAGGTTTACCATATGAACTATTTTTATAAATGAGTACCTAACAGTGAAACTCACATGGGAACTTTGCTTGCTTTGATACCATGTTAATCAACTCATCCAAAAGCTTAAGTTGTTCGAAAGGGCACACATTAATTTATTCAAATTTAGCTGTCGTTTGAGCCCCATTATTTGGTGTTAATAGAATTTGGAATAGTGATTTTTTGGAGCGTGTGTGGTTAAAAAGTAAAGAAAAATTTTAGGTTTACATGCAGAATATTTTATTGTGTGAATGTGTAGTTGAATATGAGGTTTGAAAAAAATGAGTTTTAGAAAAATGGAGATCAAACAAGGGCTCAGTCTTCTATGTTATTCAATAAGATCAAAAAAAGCAACACAAACCTGCAACATCAACAAAAACCTCACGCTTGTAGCCTCTGTGTCTACCCTTCCACATATAGTACAGGAGAAAACCTCCAAGAAGAAGCACAGCTAGGAGGGCACCAACAACCCCAGCAATCACACCAGTCTTCGATTTATGTGATTTACCTGCAAAGACGGCAATCTATAACTTTAATGTAAAAAATCTCTTTATATCTTATTTGTAACCCTTGTTCAATCTTGATGAGGTTTTATTTTCCATTTTCAAGAAGAAATATACATGTTCACTTGTACAGCTACTTTGTTCAGACCTCCTGATATTCTACAACCTAGAGAAGCAGTCGTGTTTCACAAGGTGCATATATGATGCATATTTTCAGAATGTAATAGTTTCTACATTTACCTCCATCATCAGATTCACAAAGGTGGGCAGAATTGATGCCACAGTTCAAGTGATTCTCTGTAAAACTGAAACAAGCAACTTAAGTTTTAACTGATTTCGATCTAGAAAACTGGGTAAAGGAGAGCAAAGGCGATAGCAATCAATTAACATCACAAGCAGCAGTATCGCCCATCCGT